CAGACCAAGTGAAGTCTAATGCGGCGGAGGAAGAGCAGACTGAGAGATCGATGCAAGAGAGAGTGTGAGTCCGAGGATCAAAATGGGTGTGAGTACCTGTATTTAAAATATGGAGGGGGGGGTGTCAAGAAAAGCCTCTAACTGAAGCCAGGGAATCACAGTGAGACCCCCCAAGGAAAGGGTAGGCATTAAAATCCCCAAAAACGAACGGGGGCAGTAATGAAAACAAAAAGGAAATACTGGAATAGAAAATGCCCGAGAAGGAGAGAGTATAAAGAACAAGCGTAAAACCCCATGAAAGTGGATAGGGGCTTTTTAAAGCAGCGAAGTAGAAAAAATAGCTGATGGTACGGAATATCAGTGGTAAAAGAAGGGTACTTTCTTTTAAAAGGTCCCATCAGGAAAAGGTTTTGAAAATACAAAAAATTTAGCCTGGAGGGAGAGATAAACAGCGTGTTTTTTTGGTTTCCCTGAAAGAAAAAACCCCAACGGGGGAAAAAACGGGGGAGGTAACATCTAAAGCTCCCCCCGATTCCCCCTGGGGCCCGCGTAATTCCACTGTAAATAGGCCATGATTGGCAATGATAAAGAACCGAAATCCGCAGGTAAGGGTTCCTAGGACAAAGGGGGGGTTAAAAAAGTCCACATCGGGGGGCAGTGGAAAACGTTAAAGATAAAGGGAACGGTCGCTGTGAAGAAAGGAGTTGCGCAGGGGGCAGAGGAGGAGAAGGAGGGGAGGGTGGTTCAGTGTCCTTTGAGGGTTTGGGTCTCTGCAATATATTCAGAGATTGCTTCAAGTTTACGGAATTCAGAGACGTCGTTGGGAGACAATATTGGAAATGGTAGGGGGGGGAGAGTAAAATTGGAACGTTTTGGGACTGCCCAAGGGGGGGGGGGGCGAAAAAGGGTGGGGGGGAAACTGGAAAAAGGGAAGGGGACGAAGGGCAGAAACCTGGGAGGGGCAGAAGGGGGAAGAAGCTTGGGAGGGAACGGGGGGAGGAAGGTACAGTACGAGGAGGGGGGGCAAACCCTCTACATTTGTAACGGGCCAGTAAAGGGGGGGGAGAACCAGGTACAGAGAAGGAAGGGAAAAAATGGGGAGGTGGAAGATGGGTGGAGGTGTTAAACGGACCTTTTTTTGACTTTTGAGAAGTAAGGGGACGATTGGGGGGGGGTGTCTATGGATCTGGCCTACGAGGTTGTGAGAGGACACGAAGATGCGAGATCGACTGGGCTTTGAAGTGGGGAGTCTGAGCGAGGACACAAAAAGAATTAGATACAGGGGTGATTGGGGAGAGGTAACCAAAGGTGGGTGCAGAGAAAAGGGATACCGAAGGGGGGGGGACTTTTAAAAACCGGGAAAAGAAACCAGGTATCTCCCTTGAAGGGGGAGATGAGAAACTGCCTGGCATGGGGAGTTCTGCCTTTGAGGTAAGGATTTCCCGCTCGTTTAAGTAGACTTGAAACGGGGAGAGTACGAAGGGTGAGCCTCTGACAATTAAGGGAAAGGGGGGCGATTGCAAGGTTTAGAAGGTCATCAGCACCACAGCTGGGCATTCGGCGATAGATCTGCAATATTTCGCTGGGGGCCAAATCGGCCAGCAATTTCTGCACTGTTGCGGTGTAGGGTCACCTTTCGAACTTGTAACCGATGCCTTACTAAACTGAGGATGGGAGTTACGGTGTCAAAAGTTAAAAAGCACATTGCTGGGGATGTCTCCCCCCGCGGGGCAGGGAAAAATTTTAATGTTTTCCTGAGGATTGGGAGATCTTTGGGTTCCAGCGTTCAAGATGTCAGTGCCACATGTCTGGAATTTTTTTGAACTATGATTGGGGGGAGAAAGAAGTACCCCCTACAGAATTTGGGGAATGATGTTTTTTCAAAAGTGACAGGAACAGTATCGTATGGGGAAAACGAGAAACTCATGAGCCTGGGGAGCATTTTTACGGGTGATGCGCGTACCCCCCTTTAAAGATGAAAAGAAATATTTTTCCAAAATGGGTAGGAGTGCCTTGCCCAAAACTGTGGCAGAAAGTTTGGGGAGTGAAGGGGGAAATGGTCGTTTTTAAAATGAAGAATTTAGTCCCCTTGTGCAGTCTGAAACTGATGTGGAAAGGAGTGAAGGCTGTCGATCTTTTTTTGAGAAGAACGAGAAGGTGGGAAATCATAGCAGGGAATTGCGTTGGCTTTAGGGGTAAAGGGGTTTTCGACGTTTGGAACGGGCGGCGATTCGAAAATTGCCGCACCGTAGAGGGAGAGGCCGGAAGCATAGTCAAGAGGAGAGCGAAGGTCAGATAAATCGAAGGAGTCAGTTGAGGCCTCAGTACCTGAAGCAGGTGAGGAAACAGCACCGGCAAGAGGTACAGAGGCATGAAGAGTGTCCGAAGAGTGGTCCAAAGACGAGGCGGGGTCAGAACGAGGTGCGGTATCAAGAAGGGGCCCGGGGGTAGCAGGTTCATGGACTAGGGCTGCCATGGTTAGGTTACTTCTTTCTTTTTGTTTTTAAGAAAAAAAAAGAAAGAAGAAAAGAAAATAAAAATAAAAAAAAGAATAAAAAAAAAAGGGGGGACCGGGGAGGGATAGTTCCTAGGAGGAATGAAAGGGCCAGAAATCTCCCTCCGCGCCCAAGAGGACCTCAGCACCGCAAGTAGCGCAGATGCAGCATGGAACCCGTGCCAAACCCTACCCATCATGCCAGTAAACCAGCAATCCGGGATAGCAACCTCACATCTGCCGAGCTACCTCGGTGGACAAAAGAGAGGGTGACCAGAAATCCGCCACAAAGCATACCTCCTTCGGCCACCACCCCCAGAATCCGAAAGGTGGCTTCCAGAGATACACCCGTCGCCCGAGAGACACCCAAAGCCACCCTCCGGGATACCGGAGAGGGATCGGGACATCCCCAGGCAATCCAGATTCCACGGCAAACTATGCCACCGCCAAGAACCTCAACGGAATGGGATGGACCCCGGTACCCTTTCCCCTACCTAGGAACTAGCGTGCCTGTGGGAAAAAAAAAAAAAAAAAAAAAAAACCCAAAGGCCAAAAAGGAAGGGCAAAAGGGAGGGGTGGAGAGGAGGAGGAGGAAAGGAAAAAGGGAAGGATGGGGAGGATGGGATAGGGAACGGGGGATTGGGGGGTAATTAGGTTCGGTCTGAGGAAGGAGACCGACAGGTCTAATGACTCAGACCAAGAGCCTCTTCACCACGCCAAGGAGCCCCCCTTGAAGAGGTGTTTCTGCATTGAAGGTAAAGCTTTCAGAAAAAGCAGGTAAAGTGAGGTTGCCTAGACACTGAAAGAGACTGGAAATGAATTCTATGCATGCTGTTATGTATGGCATAATCAGTTAGATGTCTGACTGTTGATAGCACCTGACAAGTTTGAGATGCTGGATGCCCCTTGTGATATTAATATTTATGGGGAAGCACTAAACCCATAAGGATTATGCAGTTCTAATTGTAATAACTGGAAGTCTTATGTGGCCAATACCAGTCACACAAGAGTCATTACCAAATGTGACAGCAATAAAAGTCATTTGTGGTTTGATCAACAGCATACTGTTGTTTTCTAGCCTGGACCAATGATGCCATCAATCCTGAATGCTCCAAGAAAAAACTGGAAAATAATCTGTGAAGGGCAGATCCCTGTAAAAGATGAAACCTGAACCATGGAACTTAGGAGTCGTCTGCAAGTTCATTGCCCTAATGCCAGAATAACATAAGACCCAGCAAAAGACGATAATGCTAACTGAAGAAATGACACAGCCAGCGTACAATACGAAGGAGGATAGGATGCATCAATTCAAAGCTAAAAAACTTGCAATGTCCTTTGAGAGATGTAGACTGCAACAAAGGAAGAAATGGAAAGAAAGAGAATGTGGATATTAGCTGAAAGTAGTGAATATAACTCTGCTGTGAAAATAATAATTATATCCATTAAGTGTCCCTGTATCAAATTATCCAGAATAAACTACTGCATATCCTATACCATCACAAAACAGGATTAATAGGCTGTGAAGATACAGGAGTTAGAAGCAGAGAGTAGACTTTGTTGCAAGAGGCATGAGAATGTGACATTTAATGGTCATATCAAATGAGGAAGTCTTCAAGACACTTCACCATGTTTAAGACAAAATGGATGACGATTCAATGTCTATGGAGGAATCAGAATCAAGTCATATTATTTGTGCAAGCAGTGACTATCATTTCCTTGCCTATTTCCTTGCCTAATAGGGAAGAAAATGGCAATGTGGGAGTTCAAAATTATTATTATTATTATTATTATTATTATTATTATTATTATAATCAAAAAGAAGCACTAAACCACAAGGGCTATACAGCAGGGGTGCAAAAGAGTAGGAGTAGGATTGATTGTTGTGCCGAGTATTGCAAGAGGAGACTGTAAGGAGCATGTATCTTCAATACATTCACCATAGCGACTACGGAGGACCCAAGGATATTCATTGGGAAGTAGGGAAGGACGAGTCAAAGAACTTAAAGAGCAACTGTGTTATTTTATTAAGTTATCTGTTCAAGTAGCACCATTAACCCGCACTACTGCTTGAACCCTGTCATGCTAGATATAAAACGTGACCCTTGGGCCAGCTGCTGTCAAGGTCGCTTGGTTGACTTCATAATCAAACAGCACATTCAAAACTTCACTAAGCTGAAGCATAAAATTTCTGACCAGGTTTGCGAGTCAAACACTTTATGTAAAGGTACAGGAACTCAACAGAGACTTCTTATGATTATAGTGGTGGAGGAGTTAGAGAAGTATCAAGCATGGGAATAGAAGAACAGGTAGTCATCATGACTGTAGATCAAAAAGAATACTGTCAGATACCACAAGGACAACTTACAAACTGTATGACTGTATGACCCCTGTGAATTTAGCACTCCCCCATAAATATAATTTTATTAATTTCAAATATTCAAAAATGACCCATATAGGTTTGGCAAAGTTAAATATAATAATCTACAAGCAAAACAAATTACTGTACCTAGTGCAATAAGCATATTAAATCTGGTCTAACTTCTATGCAAAGGAAGATCCAGCCCATTGTTGAACATCTGTTGGTATGCCTGACAGGTGCCTTAGTGCCTCCGTGACCTGTGCCGGTGTCATCATCAGCTGTACAAGCTGGTACTCCCGCTGAATTCCTCGGGTGTTGTCAACTGGTCGTACCAGCTCTAAACACTGTAAAGAGAGTAATTTCATTTTGACTGAGGTTAAATCCCCTTATGAAGTTTCACAAGGAAATTTAATGCTCTGTAAATACCAAAATAATAATAATAATCATAATACTGGGGAAGTGGAACAGAATTCTTCCTCTGTAAGCCGTGCATGTCTTAAGAAGCGACTAAAATGCCAGGAGCATGGGGCTAGTAACCCCTTCTCCTGTATACATTACTAAAGTTAAAAAGAGAAACTTTTTTCTTCTTGGGCCACCCTGCTTTGGTGGGATATGGCTGGTTTGTTGAAATAATAATAATAATAATGGTTAATGATCCAAGTCAGACCGAAACATCATCCTAAGTTTCAGTCTCCTATGTGTGGGTTGCTTGCTGTGTAATAATAATTATGCAGAGAATTTGTAGTGTGGAAATTAGGAGGTGTGAAGTTTCTAAAAGTATTAGTCAGAGGGCTGTAGAGGGGGTATAAATCTGTAGTGGAGGGGAGGAGGGGTAGGAGTCATCATAGGAAAGGATGGGGAGAGGGGGTAAAGGAGGTTTTGGTATGCAAGGGGCTTGGACACACAGCAGGCATGTTAGATAGGAAAGAATGGAGATGAATGGTTTTTTGGACCTGATGAGCTGTTGGAGTGTGAGCAAGGTAATATTTTGTGAAGGGATTCAGGAAAACCGGTTAGCTGGACTTGAATCCTGGAGGTTGGAAGTACAATGCCTGCACTTTAACCCTTTGAGGGTTTTCGTCGTACTAGTACGTCTTACGCGTAGGGGTTTTTGACGTACTAGTACTCATAAATTCTAGCGGCCTCAAATCTAGTGGGAGAAAGCTGGTAGGCCTTCATATGAAAGAATGGGTCTATGTGGTCAGTGTGCACAGTCTAAAAAAAATCCTGCAGCACACAGTGCATAATGAGAAAAAAAAACTTTGACCATTTTTTTTGAATAAATCAGCGACTTTGCAGTGTATTTTCGTATGGTATTTATTGTTGTATTCTAGTTTTCTTGGTCTCATTTTATAGAATGGAAGACATATTACAGAAATTGAGATGATTTTGACTGGTTTTACAAAGAAAGGTGCCTTGAAATTGAGCTCAAAGTAGCAGAAATGTTCGATTTTTTACCAAACTTCAAAAGTAAACAAATCGTGCCAAGCGTGCAATACACGTCAACTGGTGAGTCTAATATTCTTTCACAAGTGCACCAATAATATTTATACCATTTTTTACACTAATGCAGTAGTCTGCATAACAGTAAATCTTATATTTTTTGTGAAAAAAAAATTCAAAGTGGAAAGCAAAAGAATATAAGAGGGGCCTTGAGACGTGACTAATGACTAGAGGAAATGTCATTTTAGTGCCAGGAATGTCTTTCTTGTTTATTCTGGACCCTATTCGGAAATTGGCATCTTTTGAAATTTGTGTGAAATTGGCAAAATTGCTAAATTCTGACCACTGTACTGGATAGTTGAATTTCATAAATGAGTGGTTTCTTGCACCCATTCGATAGAAAAAATGGAGTTCTAGCGAAATATTCATGTTTTTTGTCGACTAGTACAGTGAAATTGGCCGAAAATGGGGCTCAAAGTGGGCAAAATCGCCGATGCGTAAACATCGCCGAGACCGCTAACTTTGCGAGAGCATAATTCCGTAAGTTTTCTATCAAATTTCAAACTTTTGGTGTCATTATGATCGGGAAAAGATTCTCTATCTTTTCATAAGAGAAAATAATTTTTTTTTTTTTTAAATTTGGCCGACCCTGAGAACGAGTTTTGGAGAGGGCCTGTCGACCCTCAAAGGGTTAAAGGAGGGGTTTGGGATATTGGCTGTTTGGAGTGACAATTAAACTGTCATATCTGAGCACTTGTGCAAAGACAGTGATTATGTGTGAATGATGGTGAAAGCATTTCTTTCTTTTTTTGGACCACTCTTCCTTGGTGGGTAATGGCCTACATGTTGAAAAAAAAAAAAAACTGTAGTGATTTACAAGATTAATTAAAATTATGAGGAACAGTTAAATCCAAAAGAATCATGTAGCATCTAGGAAATGGGAGGCCTTATTCCTTGGACCAAGTACCTTCCACCACCAGCATCAAGACACTCCCTTAAAAGCAAGTGATTTAAAAACTATAATGTACGTATTCCAAATATACTACTATGCTTATGTCACAGCCCTTTCTACTTCAATCTCTTGCTATCCTCTACCTCTGCACTATCCACTGCCCTGCTGACTCCATGACCTAATAATCATCCCTCTCCCTCTTGCTGCCCAATACCCCTGCAGCCTTCCCTGCTCGGTGGCGCTGTATGACCCTTGTAAGTTTAGCGCTTCTTTTTTATTATAATAATAATACTATGCTTACACTCTTCAGGGAGAGAGCCATGATGCTGAAGGTCTCTTGATCCAAGGAATTCAAGCTACCCTTCCCTTCCTCCAATCAAACCTGATTACCTTCCATTTCCTAGTTACTGCATGACTTCTATGGGTTAAGAGCTTCCCCATGATATCTTTTTATTTTTACCTCAACAGCCACCTCCCACCAAGGCTGAGTGACCCAAAGAAACATTTGCCATCGTACATTCAATGTCTGTCTTGCTACAAGTCTGCTGATATTACAATTCAGATTACTTTCTGACTGCAATATCATATATACATAATAAAAATTATTGGGAATATCAAGCCTGTGTAGATCAACAATGCAACATTACCTTCAACTGATCAAAAGCCTTGAAGACAACTGGTCGTTCAAAACTCTGCATTGATGACCTTCGCTGACAGAACTTTAGATATTCATGAAACACCATTTCAAAATTAAATGGTTCACCTTCATAAATTGTTGTCAAGTGTTTCATGGCCACAACCTGAGCAGAAAAATAAATCACAGTACATTTGAAAAATAACTTCACTGTGAAAATAAAGGATTGATAACCATGGTTGACAAAGAACCACTATCATTATGTTTTATCACTTCTTCAAGAGATACTGGAGATACGTACCCTCCCCTTCCCTAGCTCAAACCTAATTAAATCCCATTTCCTATGCTCTTTATCTGAAGAAATGGAACTCTTGTACTCTTGCTAAATACCCCAACTGTCCCTCTCTCCATCTTGTCTTCATTAGAGGAGAGATTTCATTTTGTGAAATCTAGCTCCTACACAGAAGACAAGAACCACTCTCACCCCTGTTCTAACGCAGCAACCAGTGAATTATTATTATTATTATTATTATTATCAAAAAGAAGCGCTAAGCCACAAGGACTATACAGCGCTGCAGGGCAGGAAGGAAGCGAGGGCATCAGGTGGCAAAAGGGAGATGGATGAGTAATAGGTTACGGATAACAGCGGGGTAGTGGATGGTGAAAGGGTAAAGGGCAGCAAGAGACTGAACTAGAAAGGGCTGAGGGGAGTGCGAAAAGTATCATCAGAGTTTGTGGAGTAAATCAGTCGTTGTCAAGAAGTCAATGAGAGAGTCAGGATTAAAGGAGGGTCCATCAGCAAGAAGGGAAGGTAAAGAGAGAGTAGTAGAACGAAGACGACGTTGGAGGTAAATTCTGCGTGCTCGTTGATAGAGAGGGCAGTCTAACAGAATGTGGCTAATTGATACTGGAACTTGACACTGCTCACAGAGAGGAACAGGGTGCCTCTCCATGAGATACCCATGAGTAAGACGAGTGTGGCCAATGCGAAGGCGGGAGAGAGTGGTCTCCCAACCTCGGCACTGATGACAAGAAGACGGCCAGTAACCTATGCTCGGTTTAATAGAATGAAGTTTGTTACCGAGCAGAGTTGACCAACGTTGTTGCCAACGGGTGCGAAGGTGGGTAGCTATTGCAGCAAAATAGTTCAGAAATGGAACACCTCGATAGGAAATTGGTAGGTCATGTACTGCTGACCGCGCAGCAGTGTCTGCCTGTTCATTGCCCTGTACGTCGACATGACCAGGGACCCAACAAAAAACAATATCTTTATGTTTGGTAGAGATACGGCGTAGCCAAAGTTGGATACGGAGAACTAGGGGATGAGATGTATCAAATTCTCGTATAGCCTGTAGAGCACTAAGGGAGTCTGAGACTACTACAAATGATGACACAGGCATAGATGCGATACGAATAAGTGCTGCAAGAATGGCATACAGTTCAGCAGTAAAAATGCTAGCTGAAGATAGTAAATGCCCCCGTACGACGCTGTCCGGAAACACTGCTGCGAATCCGACGCCGTCTGAAGACTTAGAGCCATCTGTGTACACAGCGGTGGCATGAGAATGGGAGTGGAAGTGATCAAGAAAAAGAGAGCGGGAAGCCACCGTAGGCAGTTGAGCTTTCGAGCAAGGGAGTGAGAAAGAACAGACCCGAACAGCTGGAACTTCCCAGGGGGGTAGGGAAAAGTGAGATGCTACATGAACATATAAAGGTGGTAACTGAAGGGAAGACAAGAGTGAATGTAGGCGAAGAGAAAAGGGACGGAGCAAACAGGGGCGGCGAACGAATAAAGAATGTCTACTAATATCGGTGACCATTCTATAAATGGAAGGATTGTGTAGATCGTGAGAGCGTACATAGTAACGAAGGCAATGGGCATCACGGCGATCAGACAAGGATGGAACATTTGCTTCTGTATAGAGGCTCTCAACAGGGGAAGAGCGAAAAGCACCAAGGCACAAACGTAAGCCTTGGTGATGGATAGAGTTAAGGCTAGAGAGAGTAGCAGGAGAGGCCGCGGAATAAATCTGGTCACCATAATCGAGTTTCGATAAAACGAGGGCTGAATGTAGGCGAAGCAGAGTGTGACGATCAGCTCCCCAGGAAAGATGAGCAAGGGTTTTAAGAAGGTTTAGCCGGCTGTGACAAGTTGCCTTCAGAGAGGTAATGTGAGGTTTCCAGGTTAACCGACGGTCAAAGAGAAGGCCTAGAAACCTGACTGTATCACGTTCGGGGATACGGGAGCCATAGAGATACAAAGGATGATCGGAGATAACAGAGCGTCTAGTGAAAGTAATTTGGTGAGTTTTGGTACTTGAAAATTTAAACCCATGTGTGGTGGCCCAAGTGGAAACACGGTCGACCGCATGCTGGAGAGAAACTGCAATAAGGTGACAGTCAGCGCCTGCACAAGCAATAGCGAAGTCATCAACATAGAGTGATGACCAAATATTGGGTGGAAGAACAGAGGCCAAATCATTTATAGCAAGGAGAAAAAGTGTTGTGCTGAGAACACATCCCTGAGGGACACCTTCAGCTTGGACGAAGCAACCAGTGAAGAGGCAGGGCCAGGAGCTGTGACTCAACCCCTGCAACCACAACTAGGCGAGTACAGCTTCTATTAGTAATGTTCCTTTCTCAAACTATTTTCCAACTTCAATAACATTGGCAACAATGTAGGTCCAAGTAGGAACACAAGTTGTTTTCTATCAAACTACAATTAGGTTCCTGGCCATCTTCTTTCCTCATTGTCTAATATGGGAAACAATACTCCTACATTTATGAATCAGACACAAACACCACATGGAGAAAGGCCAAACACTTTGTGAGGACTGTTAGGCTGCACTATAAGCTTGCCATATCTTAATAGCCTGGTCCGTCAGAGCACAGGCAGAATTCACTTCCAACATCTACAGTGCCTTATAACATTCACTGAATGACTTCCTTATCAAAATCCCACCTTTAACATTGACTTTTTTTTTTTTGACAGAAACTAGCCTATTGCACTAACATTTACTTCAAATTTGCACCTACATGAACTCTCACCTCCACTACTCTTGAACACCCCTACTAGCAGTACTATATGACCCATACAGATTTATGAAGGATGAGGTTAACCATAAAATTGATGAAGGAAAAAAGGTGAGTGGTATGTTGAGGTATCTGTAGAGACAAAACATGTCATCCATGGAGGCAGAGAAGGAAATGTACGAAAGTATAGTGGTATGGGTGTGAAGCTTGGGTTGTAAATGCTGCAGCGAGAACACGGCTGGAGGCAGTGGAGATGTCCTGTCTAAGGGCAATGTGTGGTGTAAATATTATGCAGAGAATTCGGAGTGTGGAAATTAGGAGGAGGTGTGGAGTTACTAAAAGTATTAGTCAGAGGGCTGAAGAGGGAGAATTGAGACACTTACGCAACACATGGGAATCTTTATTGAAGAAACGTTTCGTCACACAGTGGCGACTTCAACGCTTGCCCAACCTTTGGACGACGACCTACTTACACTAGTGGCAGGTCCCACTGTGATCCCGCCTCCTCCTGCTTCACCTCAACTCACTGCAGTATATAAGCCACCTCTCTGGCCCTATGCTGCATTTCCTACAAGAGTGATGGACTGAACACATCGATTCCAGGTTGAGGGACTGATTACCTCAAACTTCTCCTCTCCTTACCCATTTCTACTTTGTATTGGACTGATGAAGCCACTGTGTGGCGAAACGTTTCTTCAATAAAGATTCCCATGTGTTGCATAAGTGTCTCAATTCTTCAACTTGTCAGTTTTCTAAACCATTCATCACACAGGGCTGAAGAGGGGTTGTTGAGGTGGTTTGGTCATTTAGAGAGAATGGATCATCTATGATTCGCACCCAAGCTGACTTGCCTACAACTACGGATAACACCCGAGACCTCTTCACCGCAAACGGCAACATAGATTACAACTCATCAACACCCAATGGTATAGCAGTGTCTGACTGCAACTTCTTGGGATCTTAATACTTGGGAATTCTTCGCTTGCCTAATTCTTGGGCACGACCTACTTCAACATTGAACAAATGTTACACGACCTATGACTGCTGCACCTCTCCTGCCAACGGTTTATAAGCTCCTTCTCAGCACGTATGCCGTATTCTATTCAAGATTGATGGACTGACCACATCGACTCAAGGTTGAGGGACTGATTACCTCATTCTCCTCCTGTTCTTCAAGATTCTCCTTTGTATGGACTGATGAAGCCACTGTGTGGCGAAACGTTTCCTCAATAAAGATACCCAAGAGTTGCACATGTGTCTAATTTATCACCCAATGGTATAGCCCAGGAATTCAATCCTCAACAATGACCCAACTCCATTGATAAAATTCTACAGGAAAATAGTATGCTAAGACGACAAAACAAAACCTATGAAAAACTCATTATGGACCTTGAGTGCTCGCTACATACCCAAAACATGAGAATTAAAGACCTTGAATATCATCTTACGACACAAAACTCAAAGATTAGTGAACTAGAAAACAAACTGACATCATTAATAAACTCGTCTAAAGAACAAGCAAACCTACATTCAACTATACACACACATGCTAAACAAATAAATTCTCTCACCACCAAGCTGTCAGAATCTACACAAGACTGGAAGTTAAACATGGAATCCCAGTGGAATGCATGCCTCCAGTATCAAAGGGATATGATTGAACAAGACAAGCTCCTAGACTCTGTCATTTTAACCAGCTCTACCTTACCACCAGATACAAACAATGAGAATTGCACCATCAAAGCACTCCAACTAATAAAAGATGAGATAAAAGTTAACATTAAAACCAGTCATATCAAGGAGGCCCGACCGCTAGGCAAGCCGGGTCACCAACAAAGTGTTGGGTTAAAATTCAATTCCACTGATGTAAAAAATGATCTAATAAGTTCCGCCATCAAGAAATGGAGTAATGTGTATGTAAATGAGTGCCTAACTCAAAAACGTCAGAACTTATTATACAGACTTCAAAAACTTAAGCGTGATAATGCATCAATAAAACAGTGCTTTACTCATGATGGCATTATCGTGGTAAAATTATCAGACACAGGCCGTAGGTTTGAAATAACAAATGATCAAGAACTAGCATGTTTCCTCTCATTCACTGGTTTGACTGAATCTTGTTAAGCCATATCTCAACACATTATCAACCATGTTCAGTGCTGTAGTTTAGTAGAATTTATCCTTATCCTAATCCATAGTTTCATGACTGTTAGTGAATAACAGTAATTAATTCCCAGCTACTTAAGACACCTAAGGTGCTATTCAAGGCGCTAATCCAGGTACTTAAGTGTTTTATTCTCTGTCTTATTTTATACTTGAAACTATAACTTTTAACTTTGAAATAATCAAGGTGCTAAAGTGTTTTATTTTAATTTTCAGTAGCTCCATTATTTTTTTTTAGATTTAAATTAACTATCTTAGTTCATAAGTTCATAATTGGTAGTGGTTTAACTATCTTAGTTCATAAGTTCATAATTGTTAGTGGTTTAACATCATTGCTTTGGTCTTTTTTTTTTTTAATAATTGTAACGGCTATTTCTCCACGTAAGAACATTACAGTCTTCAACTACAATGTTAGATCATTGAGTAAACACTATGATGACCTCATTGCATTACTTAAGTCTCTAAATGCTACTATAACTTTCATTATATTTACTGAAACCTGGCTCAGACAAGATCTGACAGACATATTTACCATACCTGGTTACATAGCCATACATAACTGTAGGCCCGACCAATCAGGAGGAGGCACTGCCATCTATTACTCTGATGAACTAGAATGTGTGAAATCAACTAATGTACGGGATGAAAACGGCGAATATATAATAGCTAAATTCATATCAAGAACACTTAAGAAACCTATAGCAGTTGGTGCAGTCTACAGACTACCATACTCAAACACTTACACTTTTAGCAATAACCTTAGAAATATGATAATTGAGTCAGAGTTGAATAAACACCATCTGATATTAGCAGGAGATTTCAACATCAACCTTATCCAAGCAACCAACCCTCCAGTAGTTGATTTCACAAATGATATGAACAACAGCTTATTGCTACCCACTATAACAAAGCCAACAAGAATCTCTGACACTAGTGCCTCGTTACTCGACCGTATCTGGACCAACATAATATCCCCACTACAAGCAGGTATAATCACAGATAACACCACAGACCACTATCCTACCTTTCTCATAATAAACTTATCTAAACTGACTCAAGAAACAAGAAAGATCTTATTTCGCCTGCATGATGAGACATCGATAAACAACCTAAAACTAGCTCTAGGTGCCATTGATTGGCAGAGAGAGCTAAATGACAGTAATAATATCGATAATGATATAAAAAATTTTTTACATAAAACCCTAAACCTCTATAACAAACATTGCCCAGTCAAAACGAAACAGATCACAGAAAAGAGGCTAAACAGCCCATGGCTAACTAGAAGTATCCTCAAATCTATTAATAAAAAAACACCAAAATGAAAAGCAGTTCAGATTAGGCTTAATTACTAAAGAATTTACTAAAAGATACACATCAATACTAACAAAACTAATACGTACATCAAAGCAAATGTATTATGAAAATAGATTTAGTGAAATGAAAGGTGACACGAAAAGTACCTGGCAAACCCTCTCCAAAATTTTGGGCTCAAGAAAACTGACTGGAAATAGAGAGATAGACTTAACTAAACCAGATGAACCTCGCATGCAACCTATAGACACGGCCGACAAATTTAATGTCTTCTTCTCTACAGTAGGATCAAAGCTAGCGAGCCAAATTCCTAGCTCAAATACCCATCCGAGTGAGTACCTCACTGGCAACTATCTAAACACACTATTCCTAGCTCCAACTAATCCCACTGAAGTCTCACTCATCATTAAATCATTAAAAAACAAATCAGGTGATCTAGATAACTTGCCACCATTCATATATAAAAAAGCTGCACCAGAACTGTCGCCCATTATTGCAACAATGTTTAACAAATCTATAGCTTCCTAAACCTTCCCATCCATACTCAAGACAGCAAGGGTCACCCCAATCCACAAAGGTGGAGATCCAACTGATTTGAACAATTACAGACCCATATCAAACTTGCCATTACTATCCAAGATATTTGAAAAAATAAAACACAAGGGACTTTACTCCTACCTTACATCCAACAACATACTTAACCCATGCCAGTTTGGATTTAGACCAAAAAAAAAGCACGAATGATGCTATTATACAGCTCTCGATAAGAATGAATATCCCCTGGGGCTCTTTGTCGACCTAAGAAAAGCGTTTGACACAGTTGACCACAATCTCTTGCACCTCAAACTGAATCATTATGGCATAAGAGGACATTCTCTTGACTACCTAAAATCCTATCTTAATGACAGACACCAGTACGTACATGCAAATGGAGTCAACTCCGCTATCCAACCTGTAGCTGTAGGAGTACCCCAAGGTAGTGTCCTAGGTCTACGCCTCTTTCTCATCTACATCAATGATCTCCCCAATGCATCCCAACTCCTTACACCAGTTCTATTCGCAGATGACACTACATACGTCTACTCCCATTCAGACCCAGCTGTGCTTGAAAACACTGTAAACAATGAACTGCTAAAGATATATGCTTGGATGATGACCAACAAACTCACACTTAACAGAAAAAACTTACTTCATGCTGTTTGGCAACAAAGCCTCAAACATTCAATTCAACATACTGTTAAATGGTTCCCCTATATTAAGATGCACAGAGGGCAAATTTCTAGGTCTTCTCCTTGACTGTAATCTTAAATTTCAGTCCCATACCCATCACATAGCCAAGAAAATTTCCAAATCAGTAGGAATCCTTTCCAAGATATGCTATTATGTACCACAAATGACTCTCCTTACCTTGTCCCACTCTCTAATATATCCTTACCTCACCTATGGTATCTGTGCCTGGGGCTCTACCACAGCCAACCACCTTAGACCCTTAATAATCCAACAAAAAGCTGCTGTGTGGGTGATAACCAGCTCCTGTGCTAGACAGCACACCCCACCACTTTTCAAAAGACTCAACTTGCTAAATATACAAGACATACACTCTTATTACTGTGCCTACTACATATACATAACTTTAAACTCCACTGTAAACCCCCCCTAAAACTACTCCTCGACAGTTACAACAGAATGCACAGTCACAATACAAGGCATAAGGCCCTTTTCAACATCCCTTGAGTAAAACTCTCACTATGCAAGAACGCTATGCACATAAAAGGCCCAAAGATCTGGAACTCGCTACCAGAACAAGTCAAGGATCCCCAGACAACTTATAAATTTAGGACTCTGCCAAAAAATCATCTTATCGCACAATATTAACCACATCAACCAAACATCTACTGGCTAGTTTAATCATGTGACCTCCTGGCTTTTAATTCTGCCACTCCATAAAATATTACCACCTGCACCATTCCTTGTAAATTAGATTTTATACTAAGTATACATAAGATTGGGAGCAAGGGGCTAGTAACCCCTTCTCCTGTATAAATTACTAAATTTAAAAAGAGAAACTTTCGTTTTTCTTTCTGGGCCACCCTGCCTCGGTGGGATAGAGCTGGTGTGTTGAAAGAAAGAAAGATACATAAGATTAAGTATACATAAGATTAAGTCCAAACAAGATTGCAAAACAGCTAACCACTATTCTAAGTTTAGTTTTAAGTAACAATTACTATGTACTATTATCTTATCTAGTTTTAATTAGTTACTATGTATTAGGATTAGTTTGCCGGAAATGCCTCGGTATGATAGTGGCTATCTTTGTACTTAGCAAATCAAAATTGTAATTACACATTGTAACCTTTACAAAGAAATAAAATTATTATTATTATTATTATTATTAGAATGAGTTATAGAGTGTATAAATCTGTAAGGGAAGGAAGGCGGGGTAGGGGTCGTCCTCGAAAAGGTTGGAGGAAGTAAAGGAGGCTTTGTGGGCGAGGGGCTTGGATTTCCAGCAAGCGTGCATGAGCGTATTAGACAGGAGTGAATGGAGACAAATGGTTTTTGGAACCTGACGAGCTGTTGGAGTGTGAGCAGGGTAATATTTTGTGAAGGGATTCAGGGAAACCGGTTAGCTGGACCTGAGTCTGGAAATGGGAAGTACAATGCCTGCACTTTAAAGGAGGGGTTTGGGATATTGGCAGTTTGGAGTGACTATCTAAACTGTTGTATCTGGGTGCCTCTGCGAAGACAGTGACTATGTATGAGTGATGATGAAAGTGTTGAATGATAATGAAAGTTTTTTCTTTCTTTTTGGGGTTTTCTTTCTTTTGGGTCACTCTGCCTGGGTGGGAAATGGCCAAAGTGTTCAAAAAAAAAAAAAAAAAAAAAAAAATACCCCTGTGAGTCTGGCACTTCCCCATCATTATGTCTTCCTCTTCATGTATGTATTGCCACCTAATTTCATATATAATCAATACTACTGAATTTTTATCCCTCTGTGTGTTACATCATAGGCCCAATGAGTCACCAGGATACGCTTAGCTGAAAGTTCTTGGCCCTTGGAATATTAAAATTATAGCTGCATTTACCTATACTATACAGTATTATAAATTTATAGGCAAAAATAATATAAACAATTAGAGTTAAAGCAAGAGCCCAGCTGAGTGAGTCCCAACAGGAAATGGTGGACCAAATTATGTAAAAAATAATAGAAACATAATTTTGAGATCCTGTACATTAAAAAAAAAAGTTTAATTTACCTTTCTGTTTATTTATAAATGAAAAGAGAATTATTAACTTTAATATAGATACTGTACTATCATTAACAAGTAAATTCCACTCTCTTGCTTATATGAAACAATGAATCATTAAGAAACCTCAGAATCCTTAACTAATTTAATACTGTATATAACTTCACCAAAATAAGTGTTTATTGATAAACTCTATGTAAGGTTCTGTAAAAAGTTAAGCTTGTACTTTGACTGTTTGTATTACGTGCACAAAATATTTAATTAACGATAAGTACTGTAGGAAGGACAAGTACATGTATATACCAGACAAAGCTGCAGGACAGAAAGCCCCTGTAACATGTTGATCTTGGCCTCGGAGACAAACAATGACTGGGCATGCACAAACATCTGGCCATTCAGCTGTGGTTGCTCATCACTCAGCTGGCACACACACAGCAACTAGAGAAGGAAAAAGTAAATGCATGTAAACACAGGTATATAAATCTTCATAAATAATATAGTGAATACTGTATGCAAAATAATGAAATGTGTACAATCTATAACCACCTCCCTCCCATGTGATATAACATGGATCAAGTGTAACATGAGGAGCTTCATCAAACAGGTTTAGAATCTTTCTTCCTTCAACAAACCGACAGTATCCCACTGAGGCAGGGTGGCCCAAAAGAAAAACGAAAGTTTCTCTTTTTAACTTTAGTAATGTATACAGGAGAAGGGGTTACTAGCCCAGGTTTAGAATCTATAAGATATAATAAAGAGAAAATACATGATGAATGGACTAATACTGCTATGTCAATGGATCTTTCATTTAGCCCCCTACAAAAAAAAAAAAAAATTACAGACCTGCCTCTGGTCACAGAAAAGAACTCACCTCTTCTATGTTTGCTATGAACATTTCAATTTACAACTACTTGAACCTGTCAGTTTAACTGATAAGAAAATAAATACTAGTGTGAACCTTGAAATAGACCAATCAATGCAAAGATCCTTAACCCTTTGACTGTTTTGTTCATATATATACGTCTTACGAGCCACCGTTTTTTGACATATATATACTCATAAATTCTAGCGGCTTCAAATCAAGCAGGAGAAAGCTGGTAGGCCCACATGTGAGAGAATGGGTCTGTGTGGTCAGTGTGCACCACATAAAAAAAAATCCTGCAGTACGCAGTACATAATGGGGAAAAAAAAACTCCGACCGTTTTTTTAATCCTTTGACTGTCGACGTCGTATATATACGTCTTACGAGGTACCGTGTTTGACGTATATATACTCATAAATTCTAGCGGCTTCAAATCAAGCAGGAGAAAGCTGGTAGGCCCACATGTGAGAGAATGGGTCTGTGTGGTCAGTGTGCACCATATAAAAAAAATCCTGGAGCATGCAGTGCATAATGAGAAAAAAAAAACACCGACCATTTTTTTTAATTAAAATGCCGACTTTGTGGTCTATTTTCGTATAGTATTTGTGGTTGTATTCTCGTTTAATTGGTCTCATTTGATAGAATGGAAAACATATTATAGAAATAGAGGTGATTTTGATTGATTTTACTATAAAAAGAACCTGGAAATGGAGCTCAAAGTAGGGGAAATGTTTGATTTTTGCCGATGTTCAAAAGTAAACAAATGATGTCATTATCCAATAAATGTCGAACTAGCCATTCTAATATGCAGTCATGAATGGGTTGATGTTATTTATACAATTATTACAGTATTGCAGGAGTCTGCATAACAGTAAATCTTCTATTTTTTGTTTGAATACAAATTCAAAATAGAAAGCAAGAGCAATATCAGAGGGGACTGGAGACATTACTGATGAACAAAGAAAATGATATTTTAGAGCCAGGAATGTCTGCATTGTTCATTCTGGACCGTATTTTGAAATTGTCATATTTTTTAATTTTCGTGAAATTGGCCAAATTGCAAATTTCTGACCACGTTATTGGGTAGTTGAAATCGATAAATGGGCAGTTTCTTGTATTCAATCGATAGAAAAAATGGAGTTCTAAAGAAATAGCTATGAGTTTGGTCGACTGGAACAATGGAATTAGCCGAAAATAGGGGTCAAAGTGGGCGAAATCGCCGATTTGTAAATATCGCCGAGGTCGCTAACTTCGCGAGAGCGTAATTCCGTCAGTTTTCCATCAAATTTTGTGTTTTTGGTGTCATTACAATAGGGAAAAGATTCTCTATCATTTCCTAAGAAAAACTAATTTTTTTTTTTTTTTTTTTTTGAAATTTTGCGACACCAGGAGACACTTCAGGATTGGGGGTTGCGACAGTCAAGGGGTTAATTAAAATGCCAACTTTGTGGTCTATTTTCGTATAGTATTTATGGTTGTATTCTCGTTTTCTTGGACTAAATTGATAGAATGGAAAGCATATTATAAAAATAGAGGTGATTCTGAGCGGCTTTACTATGAAAAGAACCTTGAAATGGGGCTCAAAGTAGGGGAAATGTTTGATTTTTGCCGATGTTCAGAAGTAAACAAATGATGTCGTTTTCCAATAAATGTCCTAGTAGCCATTCTAATATGCAGTCATGAATGGGGAAGGTACCTAGGGATTGGCGGAGAGCATGTATAGTCCCTTTATATAAAGGGAAGGGGGACAAAAGAGATTGTAAAAATTATAGAGGAATAAGTTTACTGAGTATACCAGGGAAAGTGTACGGTAGGGTCATAACTGAAAGAATTAGAGGTAAGACAGAATGTAGGATTGCGGATGAGCAAGGAGGTTTCAGAGTGAGTAGGGGATGTGTAGATCAAGTGTTTACATTGAAGCATATATGTGAACAGTATTTAGATAAAGGTAGGGAAGTTCTTATTGCATTTATGGATTTAGAAAAGGCATATGATAGAGTGGATAGGGGAGCAATGTGGCAGATGTTGCAAGTACTGTATACGGAATAGGTGGTAAGTTACTAAATGCTGTAAAGAGTTTTTATGAGGATAGTGAGGCTCAGGTTAGGGTGTGTAGAAGAGAGGGAGATTACTTCCCGGTAAAAGTAGGTCTTAGACAGGGATGTGTAATGTCACCATGGTTGTTAATATATTTATAGATGGGGTTGTAAAAGAAGTAAATGCTAGGGTGTTTGGGAGAGGGGTGGGATTAAATTATGTGGAATCAAATACAAAATGGGAAGTGACACAGTTACTTTTTGCTGATGATACTGTGCTTATGGGAGATTCTAAAGAAAAACTGCAAAGGTTAGTGGATGAGTTTGGGAGTGTGTGTAAAGGTAGAAAGTTGAAAGTGAACATAGAAAAGAGTAAGGTGATGAGGGTATCAAATGGTTTAGATAAGGAAAAATTGGATATCAAATTGGGGAGGAGGAGTATGGAAGAAGTGAATGTTTTCAGATATTTGGGAGTTGGCGTGTCAGCGGATGGATTTATGAAGGATGAGGTTAATAATAGAACTGATGAGGGAAGAAAGGTGAGTGGTGTGTCGAGGTATATGTGGAGTCAAAAAACGTTATCAATGGAGGCAAAGAAGGGAATGTAGGAAAGTATAGTAGTAGCAGCACTCTTATATGGGTGTGAAGCTTGGGTTGTGAATGCAGCAGCGAGGAGGCGGTTGGAGGCAGTGGAGATGTCCTGTCTAAGGGCAATGTGTGGTGTAAATATTACGCAGAAAATTTGGAGTGTGGAAATTAGGAGAAGGTGTGGAGTTAATAAAAGTATTATTCAGAGGGCTGAAGAGGGGTTGTTGAGGTGGTTTGGTCATTTAGAGAGAATGGATCAAAGTAGAATGACATGGAGAGCATTTAAATCTGTAGGAGAAGGAAGGCGGGGTAGGAGTCATCCTTGAAAAGGTTGGAAGGAAGTGGTAAGGGAGGTTTTGTGGGTGAGGGGCCTGGACTTCCAGCAAGCGTGCATGAGCGTGTTCGATAGGAGTGAATGGAGACGAATGATATTTGGACCTGACGATCTGTTGGAGTGTGAGCAGGGTAATATTTAGTGAAGGGATTCAGGGAAACCAGTTATTTTTATATAGCCGGACTTGAGTCCTGGAAATGGGAAGTACAACGCCTGCACTCTAAAGGAGGGGTTTGGGATATTAGCAGTTTGGAGGGATATGTTGTGTATCTTTATACGTATATGCTTCTAAGCTGTTGTGTTCTGAGCACCTCTGCAAAAACAGTGATTATGTGTGAGTGAGGTGAAAGTGTTGAATGATGATGAAAGTATTTTCTTTTTGGGGATTTTCTTTCTTTTTTGGGTCACCCTGCCTTAGTGGGAGACGGCCGACTTGTTGGAAAAAAAAAAAAAAATTGCAATAGTCTGCATAACAGTAAATCTTTTATTTTTTGTTTGAATAAAAATTCAGAATAGGAAGCAAGAATGATATCAGAGGGGACTGGAGATGTGTCTGATGAACAAAGAAAATGTTATTTTAGAGCCAGGAATGTCTACATTGTTCATTCTGGACCCTATTTTGAAACTCATATTTTTTTAATTTTCGTGAAATTGGCCAAACTGCAAATTTCTGACCACGTTATTGGGTAGTTGAAACTGGTAAATGGGAAGTTTCTTGTACTCAATCGATAGAAAAAATGGAGTTCTAAAGAAATTGCTATAAGTTTGGTCGACTGGAACAATGGAATTAGCCGAAAATAGGGCTCAAAGTGGACAAAATCGCCGATTCATAAATATCGCCGAGGTCGCTAACTTCACGAGAGCGTAATTCTGTCAGTTTTCCATCAAATTTTGTTCTTTTGGTGTCATTACCATTGGGAAGAAATTCTATCATTTCACAAGAATTTTTTTTTTGGGGGGGAGGGGGGGGGGATTTTGCGACATCAGATGACACCTCTGGATTTGGGGTTGTGACAGTCAAGGGGTTAAGCAACCCATTTTCATTTTGCTACATTGTCTTACATGATTCCCAATATCAATTTCTAAATGCTCCCTGGAAATCTATAAACCCTCCACTAAAACTACTACTTGACAGTTACAACAGAATGCACAGCCACAATACAAGGCATAAGGCACTTTTCAACATCCCTCAAGTCAGACTCTCACTATGCAAGAACACTATGCACATAAAAGGCCCGAAGATCTGGAACTCACTACCGAAACAGGTCAAGGATCCCGACAGCTTATAAATTTAGGACTTTGCTAAAAAAATCATCTTATCTCACAATATTAACCAAATCAATCAAACATCTGCTAACTAGTTTTATTATGTGACCTCTTGGCTCTTAATTCTGCCAATCCATAAAATCATCTTATTTCTCAATATTAACCAAATCTGCCAAAACATCTGCTAATTAGTCTTATCGTGTGACCTCCTGGCTTTTAATTCTGTCATTCCATAAAATATTACCACGTGAACCATTATTTGTAAGGTAGATTTTGTGTGCAATTTCAAGCTTATTTTACCGAACCCTACTCAGTTGTACTAAGTTTAAATAAGATTGTATTACGTTTAAATAAGATTGTAAAACAGCCAACCACTATTACTTGTCTAGTTTTAAGTACAATGTATAGTTACTATGTACACCTACCATCCGACTTACGACCGAGTTCGGTTCCGAGAAACCGGTCGTAAGTCGAAATAGTTGTAAGTCGAACTTTACTACTGAATATCAACAAAACATTTTTGTAATGACTTTATTTTATTGTTTTATTTTGGTATTTCATGTTTTACTTTACTTTTTATGCTGTTAGTACTGTATTTTATGCTGTAAGGTTTAGGATAAACACTGTGTACAACACAAATAGTTGTTTATTTCTCAGAAATTTGGCATAAAAAACACAGTCGTAAGTCGAGTATTCGTAAGTCGAGCAGGTCGTAAGTCGGATGGTAGGTGTACTCGGCATGATAGTGGCTATCTTTGTACTTAGCAAATCAAAATTGTAATTACACATTGTAACCTTTACAAAGAAATAAACTTTACTTTACATATGAAGAAATTAAAAAAATTCCATGACGTCTGGCAACTTGTTAACTTTGCCTCACCAAGAAATATTCAAATCAACACAGTTATCACCCATGCAAAGATAGGTTGTGCTAAGAAACAACTGTATAATGATGACCTATATGACATGTACCGGTTTGGCACTTAGTTTTTACTATAATAATAATAATAACACCTAGGTAGTAGGTTGGTAGACAGCTACCGCCCAGGGAGGTAGTACTACCAACCTGCCAAGTGAGTGTAAAACGAAAACCTGTAATTGTCTTACCCGATGATAGGATTGCTGGTGTCTTTTGTCTGTCTCATAAATATGCTTATACATATATGATTTCAGGTACGTCTTGCTACTTCTTACACTTAGGTCACATGACACATACATGTACAAGCATATATATACACACCCCTCTGGGTTTTCTTCTATTTTCTTTCTAGTTCTTGTTCTTGTTTATTTCCATTTATCTCCATGGGGAAGTGGAAAAGACTTCTTCCTCCCTAAGCCATGTGTGTCGTGAAAGGCAACTAAAATGCCAGAAGCAAGGGGCTAGTAACCTCTTCTCCTGTATGCATTACTAATGTTAAAAAGAAAAACTTTTTTTTTTCTTTTTGGGCCACCCTGCTTCGGTGGGATACGGCTGGTTTGTTGAAAAAATAATAATAATAATAATAATAACAGTCTCCATGAGGAAGTGGAAAAGAATCTTTCCTCCATAAGCCATGCATAAAAGGCAATTTAACTGCCAGGAACAATGGGCTAGTAACTCCTCCTGTATTAGATAGGAGTGAATGGAGACGAATAGTATTTGGGACCTGACAAGCTGTTGGAGTGTGAGCAGGGTAATATTTAGTGAAGGGATTCAGGGAAACCGGTTATTTTATATAGCCGGACTGGAGTCCTGGAAATGGGAAGTACAATGCCTGTGCTTTAAAGGAGGGGTTTGGGATATTGGCAGTTTGGAGGGATATGTTGTGTATCTTTATACGTATATATACTTCTAAACTGTTGTATTCTGGGAACCTCTGCAAAAACAGTGATTATGTGTAAGTGAGGTGAAAGTGTTGAATGATGATGAAAGTATTTTCTTTTTGGGGATTTTCTTTCTTTTTGAGTCACCCTGCCTCTGTGGGAGACGGCCGACTTGGGGAGACGGCCGACTTGTTAAAAAAAAAAAAAAAAAAAAAAAAAAAAAAAAAAAAAAAAAAAAAAAAAAAAAAAAAAAAAAAATTGGAAACAGCTGATGTGTTAATAAAAAGTAATAATAATAACTGTGACAGAAGCGATATGAGAAGGGTGGAGTATATGGAGAGTAAAAAAGAGGTTAAGAGAGTGGTGAGGGAGTGCAAAAGAAACGCTAGTAATTTATTTGATTCAAGTAAAAACAAGATGATTAGGAGGGTATATAATTCTAGGGTTGAGGAAAGGAAGGGTTGGGGTTGCCACCAGAAAGGGTAGAAGAAAAGACTTAAGGAATTTTTGAGTACTATGGGTTTGAATGTTCAAATGGCTTGTGTGAATGCATTAGATTGGAGTGAGTGAAGGCAAAATGATTTTTATGGCTTGATGCACTGACAAAGTATGTGTAAAGTGACATTTATGAAGGGATTTAGGGAAACCAGTTAGCCAGACTCGAGTCCTGGAGGTAGGAAGCACTGTGTCTGCACTCTATTATGTTAGCATGTTTCTGCAAGCCAGAAACTGAATGAATGATAGTGAATGTGCCGACTTATTGTTTTTGCATTATCCTACCTTGGTGAGAGATGGCCAGTGTTAAAACAACGGTCCTATCTTAGACTTTCCCTACTTCCTTTACTATTATTACATGCATGAGGGAAGTGTTAAATCCACAGGAGGGTAATGCAGTGCCTAAGGAATGAGAGGTTATCAGGTTTGATCCAATGAAGGGAAAGGTAACTCAAATTCCTTTCATCTGCATAAAGAGATTCACTTCCATTGCACTATCCTCTGGAACCCTTATTCTTTTATCTGACATTCCTGAATTTGTATTATTAGTCCACACCCACTGTCTGAAAACACCATACACATAAAAATTGTAAAAAAAAAAATACTGATTTTTTTTAAATTTGTACATGCATAAATGAAATTTTATGGAATTTTTTGCCATAGACAAAATGTCGAGTTTTCCCATATACAACATTTTAACATGCACAAAAAAATATAATCGTGTTAGAATACTTTTAATGACTAGAATGCAGGTTGAATGTCTAAAGTAAGAATTTGGGAATAGACTTTTTTATAAAAGTAACAATGACATATTGCAGGAGAGCAGAATAAATATTCTAACCAATGCTCAGTAATAAGCCACATGGAGAGAGAAACTCAGGAGATTAAATGAAGAGGATTGAAATATACAGATCTCCTAAGTGTCTGTCTCTCTGTGGGTTATTAGTGAGCAATAATAAGTGTTTATTACACTTTAGTTATTCATTCTAAGCTATAATAATATAGTGCTGAAAGTCAAATACTTACCAAGAGTGTTTTCAAGGCTCTAATATCTTTGGTTGTATTGTGTAACCTTTTTAGGACTTTAATAACATTATTATCTTCTACCAATCTTGCAACATTCAAGTTCCATTTTCTAGAAAATTCCTGAAAAATAAAGTAATCAATAGATATAAAATTATGCATAGTACAGTATGTGGTTAGAAGTAAAAATAAGAGAAATGAAAAGAAATACTACTTAAAAATTTTGGTAAAAATATTTCCTCAGTTCTAGAGATATAGTACTGCTTCGTACAACCTTTATGAGACTAATAAAAATGTGAGCAAAGTAATGTTTATGAAGGGATTCGGAGTAACCAGATAGCTAGACTTATGTCTTGGGGGTGGGAATACAGTGTCTGCACTCTGAAGGAGTGGAGGATCTTACAGTTGAGAAGGTTATTTGAATTCTGATGTCTACACGCCTCTAGCAAAACAGCTATTTGAATAAGTGGTGGTGAATGAGTTTCCTTTTGGGTCACTTTGTCTCAGTGGGAGATAGCCAGTGTTATTTTTTAACAATAAAAGTTCAAATCTTTTATATTGTATTTGGGTGAGGATACGAGTGCAATGATGAAATGTTAGCTTGAAATATTTGACCAATGAGTAAATAAACTTAGTGTGCAGATATTCCTTTTATCTTTTTAATAAGTTCCTTTTTTTCTTGCCCAAAAATCTAATCTAAGTAAAGAGCATAACAGTGGACAAGATCACTTAACCAAGTTGTCACCTCTGTCTCTCAGCACCTTCACAGATATGGAAAATAAGTGGGATTTTCTTACTTTATTTGAATACAGTGGAACCTTGGTATATGACCTTAATTCATTCCAGACGGCTGTTCGAGTGCCGCTCCGTTTGGGTATTGAACAAGTTCTTCCCAACCAATTTTCTGTCTGGTTGGCTGTTATCACTAATTATTGTAGGCCCCACGGTGACTTATTTATACAAATAATAAAAAAAAAAAAAACACCAAAAATGCAAATAAACACTAAATAGTTTACAGCGAAGTTCTGGCAGGTTGTATTTGTTTGGAAGAGTGCTTAGGTTTGCGTAGGGAGCTGGTCGTATACCGAGGTTCCACTGTAATTGCACCAGAGGCCTGTTTAATAGATCAATGATCTTGCATGACAGTATGGAGATTCCAGAAAATTTATTCTTTATTGAAGATTAAATTGGGAAGCCAGAAATCATAAAAAAATTCTAATACGGCGGTTTCCAGATTTAAAAATGTGCAGGATGTCATGTAAAGCAGAGGCTATGGAAATGATTTCTCAGTCTATATAAATTTTTAACACTGTATTCTCCTAAAGGTCTTAAAAAAACCCATCTCAAAAAATATATTGAAATGCATCATAAAACCCCTAAATTGAAGTCAGGAATACTAAGAGACCTGACACCAGATTTGATGCGAAATACATTTCTAATATCTATTTATACTGTTTAGCTATTCCTTTGGTTGTGATTAGAAACAAAATAATCTGAAATCTTCAGTATAATTTATTTTCTACACAGGCTACCTGTACAACAACTAGTAGCCATTTCCTTAGGCAACATGAACTGTAGATCATTCATCATATGACCCATGGGCACAAAAGATCATAGATACCCAAGGTCAACTAAACTAAACACTGCTATACCTTGAATCAACATACTGCATATTGCTGAGGAGCTCTAAAAAATTCCATTAACATATGTTGGAGGAATCAATTACTGCACATACTCATTGATTATGAAATGGGAGGACAAATATATTAATTCCTTGTTACATGTACATATATTAAAATAGAAGCATAATTAACAAATAAAATGCAGTACAGGTAAAAATTTGAATGACCTATAGGGGTCATACAGCACCTAGTACATGTGAGGTAATCAGATTTGATCCACAGCACTCCAACAATAATAAAAGTTTGTTCACAAGTGTCTTTTTGTCCTCAGATCAAGAACCCTTTACCATCATCAAGGTACCCCATTTGAAGGACCTATTCTTTAAAACAGGAAGGCCCCACTTATACAGCATGTTAGCTTTTGGGCTACTGCTGTAAAGCAGAAATTGCTGTAAAGTGAAACACATTCTTTTTCACCTTCAAATGTGTATAAAAGCCTAACAACATGTTTACACTATCATATATTAACCCTTTGACTGTCAAGGTCGTATATATACGTCTTACGAGGTACCGTGTTTGACGTATATATACTCATAAATTCTAGCAGCTTCAAATCAAGCAGAAGAAAGCTGGTAGGCCCACATGTGAGAGAATGGGTCTGTGTGGTCAGTGTGCACCATATAAAAAAAATCCTGGAGCATGCAGTGCATAATGAAAAAAAAAAAAAACTCCAACCGTTTTTTTTAATTAAAATGCCAACTTTGTGGTCTATTTTTGTATAGTATTTATGGTTGTATTCTCATTTTCTTGGTCTCATTTGATAACATGGAAAACATACAGTGGACCCTCGACCAGCGATGGCATCGATTAACGATAAATCTAACTAGCGATACATTTTATCGCAAAAATTTTGCCTCGATTAGCGCTAAAAAACTCGACCAACACTATTCGTTCCGTCTGAGACGCGTCCACTTCTGGCCAGTGTTTAGAAGCCAGCCAGCCACCGCGGTCGCTTCCAAGCATACAATCGGAACATTTCATATTATCACAGCCTTTTTAGTGATTGCACCTGCAAAATAAGTCACCATGGGCCCCAAGAAAGCTTCTAGTGCCAACCCTACAGCAAAAAGGGTGAGAATTACTATGGATATGAAGAAAGAGATCATTGCTAAGTATGAAAGTGGAGTGCATGTCTCCGAGCTGGCCAGGCTGTACACAAAACCCCAATCAACCATCGCTACTATTGTGGCCAAGAAAACGGCAATCAAGGAAGCTGTTCTTGCCAAAGGTGCAACTATGTTTTCGAAACTGAGATCGCAAGTGATAGAAGATGTTGAGAGACTGTTATTGGTATGGATAAACAAAAAACAGATAGCAGGAGATAGCATCTCTCAAGCGATCATATGTGAAAAGGCTAGGAAGTTGCATGACGATTTAATTAGAAAAATGCCAGCAACTAGTGGTGATGTGAGTGAATTTAAGGCCAGCAAAAGTTGGTTTGAGAGATTTAAGAATCGTAGTGGCATACATAGTGTGATAAGGCATGGTGAGGCTGCCAGTTTGGACCAAAAAGCAGCTGAAAAATATGTGCAGGAATTCAAGGAGTACATAGACAGTGAAGGACTGAAACCTGAACAAGTGTTTAATGGTGACATTGACAATGTTGTGAAACACTTTAGGAATGTCATAAAGGAACGGGAGGTACAGGCCTCTATGGGCAGATATGTTGTGCGACAGAGGTCCAGTGACTCTCAAGCTGGTCCTAGTGGCATTAAAAGAAGAAGGGAAGTAACCCCAAAAAAGGACTTGCCACCTCAAGTCCTAATGGAAGGGGATTCTCCTTCTAAACACTAAGACCATCAACACACTCCCCTCTTCCCATCCCATCAATCATCACCAGATCTTCAATAAAGGTAAGTGTCATGTAACTGTGCATGTCTTCTTCAGTTTGTGTGTATTAAAATTAATATTTCATGTGTTAAAAATTTTTTTTTCAATACTTCTGGGTGTCTTGCACGGATTAATTTGATTTCCATTATTTCTTATGGGGAAAATTAACTTGACTAACGATTATTCTGACTAACGATGAGCTCTCAGGAACGGATTAATAGCGTTAGTCGAGGGTCCACTGTATTATAGGAATAGAGGTGATTTTGATTGATTTTACTATAAAAAGAATTTGGAAATGGAGCTCAAAATAGAGGAAATGTTTGATTTTTGCCAATGTTCAAAAGTAAACAAATGATGTCATTGTCCAATAAATGTCCAACTAGCTATTCTAATATGCAGTCATGAATGGGTTGATGTTATTTATACAATTATTACAATATTGCAGTAGTCTGCATAACAGTAAATCTTCTATTTTTTGTTTGAAAAAATTCAAAATAGAAAGCAAGAGTAATATCAGAGGGGACTGGAGACATGACTGATGAACAAAGAAAATGTTATTTTAGAGCCAGGAATGTCTGCGTTGTTCATTCTGGACCTTATTTTGAAATAGTCATATTTTTTAATTTTCGTGAAATTGGCCAAATTGCAAATTTTGACCACGTTATTGGGTACCTGAAATCAGTAAATGGGCAGTTTCTTGTACTCAATCGATAGAAAAAATGGATTTCTAAAAAAATAGTTATGAGTTTGGTCGACTGGAACAAATGGAATTAGCCGAAATTAGGGCGAAATCGCTGATTTGTAAATATCGCAGAGGTCGCTAACTTGGCGAGAGCGTAATTCAGTCAGTTTTCCATCAAATTTTGTGTTTTTGGTGTCATTACAATCGGGAAAAGATTCTCTATCATTTCATAAGAAAAAATAATTTTTTTTTTAAATTTTGCGACACCAGGAGACACTTCAGGATTGGGGGTTGCGACAGTCAAGGGGTTAAGTGAGCAATAGAGCTAGGCCTATAAAATGCATATACAGTACACACATTACTTACCTTAAAATATTTTTGTCCTTAGCTTACAGTGAGTGGTGAATATATTTATTATAGGAAGTCTGAATTAAGAACATAAGAACATAGAACATAAGAAAGAAGGAACACTGCAGCAGGCCTACTGGCCCATGCGAGGCAGGTCCAATTCTCCTACCGGCTTAAGGTACAAGTAAAAACCACTGCATTAGCGAAATGCTGTAAAGTGAAGCGTTGTACAACAGGGCCCACCTGTATATGAAACCATGTTAGATAAAATGATGCTCCTGACATGTATATGCAGCCAAAGATAGTGGGATCTATAAAGAAGAAAGACATAAGATTTACATTTTCACTCTTTCCAGATTCTGATTAAATACAGTGGACCCCCGCATAACGATCACCTCCGAATGTGACTAATTATGTAAGTGTATTTATGTAAGTGCATTTGTACGTGTATGTTTGGGGGTCTGAAATGGACTAATCTACTTCACAATATTCCTTATGGGAACAAATTCGGTCAGTACTGGCACCTGAACATACTTCTGGAGTGAAAAAATATCGTTAACCGGGGGTCCACTGTACTACCTTATACAGAGATCAAGGGCAAATAAAAATATCAGAATCAGTGTCTATTCATTAGGTCATAAATATATAAAATCTATGAAAAACAAGGATGAAAATCTGGCCTAGCATATTTTTCATGCTATCTTTTATTTAATTTTATTTCATACCTTAAAGGGAAAGGAATAAAACTCCAGGTGCTGCATAAAAATGTCAAGGTAATATGAGGAATCTATCTGATAGGAAGAGGTGAATCTTACTTAAGTTTATTTAGGTACAGGTACACATGAGTACAATTATCATACATAGTATAAAGTATCTAGAAAAAAAAAAAAGTCAAAGTGACTCATTTCCACTTCATACCTTAAAAGGGAATGAGGCTGATAACTCCAGTAGCTGCTTGAAGGTATCTAAGTAATATGGGTCAAATTTGTCAGGTGGGAAGAGGTGAATCTGACGGTGAGAAAAACGTGACTTGACTCTCTTCTCCAGCAGTTCTATCACATCAAGACGGCATGTCAACCCTAACACACATATTGGTGCCTGAGGAATTATTTCTTAATGAGACTTACAAGGTCAAATTAAGGTAAGTCATGATTATAGCATGATGTATTGCAGTAAACCCTCAATTTATTGGACTAACAGGAGGTTGTGGGTGAACATTAATGGATATTGTGTTTATACTATCGTATATTAAGTGAGCAATGTAGCTAGGCCTAAAAAATGCATATACATTGCACACATCACTTATCTAAAAATATGTTTGTCCTTAGCTTATAATGAGTAAAAAAGTCTGAATAAATGAAGAATGGGTGTGACTGACAAACTTCTGTAGTAGCAAAACGGTGTAGAGCAATGCGCTATAAAGCGGGGCTCTCCTGTATTGAGATGGGTGACATCTGATTGTGCATGCAGAAAGCCCAATTATGCAGAGCATTTCAAGTGTCATAGGAGGCTACTAAAGTGCCTTGAGGAAGGGGCTACTAATCCCTTCTGTATAAATTACTAAATATAAAAAGAAGAAGAAGAGCAGAGTATATGGAGAGTAAAAGAAAGGTAAAGAGAGTGGTGAGAAAGTGCAAAAGGAGAGCAGATGATAGAGTGGGAGAGGCACTGTCAAGAAATTTTAATGAAAATAAGAAAAAATTTTGGAGTGAGTGAAACAAGTTAAGAAAGCCTAGGGAAAGTATGGATTTGCCAGTTAAAAACAGAGTAGGGGAGTTAGTAGATGGAGAGATGGAGGTATTAGGTAGATGGCGAGAATATTTTGAGGAACTTTTAAATGTTAAGGAAGAAACAGAGGCAGTAATTTCATGCACTGGTCAGGGAGGTATACCATCTTTTAGGAGTGAAGAAGAGCAGAATGTAAGTGTGGGGGAGGTACGTGAGGCATTACGTAGAATAAAAGGGGGTAAAGCAGCTGGAACTGATGGGATCATGACAGAAATGTTAAAAGCAGGGGGGGATATAGTGTTGGAGTGGTTGGTACTTTTGTTTAATAAATGTATGAAAGAGGGGAAGGTACCTAGGGATTGGCAGAGAGCATGTATAGTCCCTTTATATAAAGGGAAAGGGGACAAAAGAGACTGTAAAAATTATAGAGGAATAAGTTTACTGAGTATACCAGGAAAAATGTACGGTAGGGTTATAATTGAAAGAATTAGAGGTAAGACAGAATGTAGGATTGCGGATGAGCAAGGAGGTTTCAGAGTGGGTAGGGGATGTGTAGATCAAGTGTTTACATTGAAGCATATATGTGAACAGTATTTAGATAAAGGTAGGGAAGTTTTTATTGCATTTATGGATTTAGAAAAGGCATATGATAGAGTGGATAGAGGAGCAATGTGGCAGATGTTGCAAGTACGTGTATATGGAATAGGTGGTAAGTTATTAAATGCTGTAAAGAGTTTTTATGAGGATAGTGAGGCTCAGGTTAGGGTGTGTAGAAGAGAGGGAGACTACTTCCCGGTAAAAGTAGGTCTTAGACAGGGAAGTGTAATGTCACCATGGTTGTTTAATATATTTATAGATGGGGTTGTAAAGGAAGTAAATGCTAGGGTGTTCGGGAGAGGGGTGGGATTAAATTTTGGTGAATCAAATTCAAAATGGGAATTGACACAGTTACTTTTTGCTGATGATACTGTGCTTATGGGAGATTCTAAAGAAAAATTGCAAAGGTTAGTGGATGAGTTTGGGAATGTGTGTAAAGGTAGAAAGTTGAAAGTGAACATAAAAGAGTAAGGTGATGAGGGTGTCAAATGATTTAGATAAAGAAAAATTGGATATCAAATTGGGGAGGAGGAGTATGGAAGAAGTGAATGTTTTCAGATACTTGGGAGTTGACGTGTCGGTGGATGGATTTATGAAGGATGAAGTTAATCATAGAATTGATGAGGGAAAAAAGGTGAGTGGTGCGTTGAAGTATATGTGGAGTCAAAAAACATTATCTATGGAGGCAAAGAAGGGAATGTATGAAAGTATAGTAGTACCAACGCTCTTATATGGGTGTGAAGCTTGGGTGGTAAATGCAGCAGCGAGGAGATGGTTGGAGGCAGTGGAGATGTCCTGTTTAAGGGCAATGTGTGGTGTAAATATTATGCAGAAAATTCGGAGTGTGGAAATTAGGAAAAGGTGTGGAGTTAATAAAAGTATTAGTCAGTGGGCAGAAGAGGGGTTGTTGAGGTGGTTTGGTCATTTAGAGAGAATGGATCAAAGTAGAATGACATGGAAAGCATATAAATCTATAGGGGAAGGAAGGAGGGGTAGGGGTCGTCCTCGAAAGGGTTGGAGAGAGGGGGTAAAGGAGGTTTTGTGGGCAAGGGGCTTGGACTTCCAGTAAGCGTGCGTGAGCGTGTTTTGATAGGAGTGAATGGAGACGAATGGTACTTGGGACCTGACGATCTGTTGGAGTGTGAGCAGGGTAATATTTAGTGAAGGGATTCAGGGAAATCGGTTATTTTCATATAGTTGGACTTGAGTCCTGGAAATGGGAAGTACAATGCCTGCACTTTAAAGGAGGGGTTTGGGATATTGGCAGTTTGGAGGGATATGTTGTGTATCTTTATATGTGTATGCTTCTAAACTGTTGTATTCTGAGCACCTCTGCAAAAACAGTGATAATGTGCGAGTGTGGTGAAAGTGTTGAATGATGATGAAAGTATTTTCTTTTTGGGGATTTTCTTTCTTTTTTTTTGGGTCACCCTGCCTCGGTGGGAGACGACCAACTTGTTAAAAAAAAAAAAAAAAAAAGAAGATAAACCTTATGAAAGTGTTTCTTCTTTTTTTCCTGTCACCTGCCTCAGTGAGAGACAACTAGTGTGCTAACCATAAAATGAATGCTCTAATTAAAAATTTTATGTACCTGTGCAGACTGGGCGACATCAAAGAGGTTGTACAGGAGCGTTTGATTATGATGGTGACAAAATAAATCAAATTCATCCAGGATAAAAATAACAGGTTTGGAAGTTTCCTTACTGCCACAGCGGAGAGACTCCAGGAGAAAGGCTAAATTTTCTGCAAAGAAAATTAGTAACCTTATATTGTACTATTAAATATCATCCATTATCAAACCAAATCAAAATTAAAACTCTGATTATATCAGTCCTGTCACTATACCAGTCTAAATTACAATAGGAATAAAATATTCTTCACTGCTGGAAGAAAAACAGGAAATGAAATTTTTTTTTGTTTTAACATGCCAGCCACCTCCCACTGAGGCAGGGTGACCCAAAAAAGAAACACTTTCACCATCATTCACATATAATCACTGTCTTTGCAGAGGTTCCCAGATATGACAGTTTAGATGTCACTCCAAACAGCCAATATCACAAACCTCCTTTAAAGTGCAGGCATTGTGCTTCCCACCTCCAGGACTCAAGTCTGGCTAACCAGTTTCCCTGAACCCCTTCGCAGAATATTACCTTGCTCACACTCCAACAGCTTGTCAGGTCCAAAAAACCATTCGTCTCCAGTCATTCCTATATCTAACATGCCCACACATGCCTGCTGTATGTCCAGGCCCCTTGCACATTAAACCTCTTTTACCCCCTCCCTCCATTCTTTCCAAGGACAAACCGTACCCCTCCTCCTCTCCACTACAGAGTTATACACACTCCAAGTCATTCTATTTTGCTCTATCCTCTCTAAATGACCAAACCACCTCAATAACCCCTCTTCAGCCCTCTGTAACTCCACACCTCCTAACACTGTGCTTTTGGGAGATCCTAAAAGAAGTTGCAAAGGTTAGTGGATGAGTTTGGGAGGGTGTGTAAAGAAAGATTAAAGCGAACACAGATAAGAATAAGGTGATGAGGGTATCAAACAAGTTAGGTAAAGAAAAATTGGGTATCACATTGGAGGGAGTGTGGAAGAAATGAATGTCTTCAGATATTTGGGAGAAGATTTGTCAGCAAATGGGTTTATGAAGGATGAGGTTAATCATAGAATTGATCAAGGAAAAAAGGTGAGTAGTGCACTGAGGCATATGTGGAGCCAAAAAAGTGTTATCCATGGAGGCAAAAAAGGGAATGTACAAAAGTATAGTGGTACCAACACTCTTATATCGGTGTGAAGAATGGGTTGTGAATATTGCAGTGAGGAGGCGGCTGGAGGCAGTAGAGATGTCATGTCTAAGGGCAATGTGTGGTGTAAATATTATGCAAAGAAATGACAATGTGTGAATAAATATACAAATATTTATACAATCTCATTCCTTGCTTAACCCTTTCAGGGTTTCGGCCATACTAGTACGGCTTACGCGCCAGTGTACATGACGTACTAGTACGCATAAATTATAGCGCCTTCAAAGCTAGTGAGAGAAAGCTGGTAGGCCTACATATGAAAGAATGGGTCTATGTGGTCAGTGTGCGCAGTATAAAAAAAAAATCCTGCAGCACACAGTGCGTAATGAAAAAAAAAAAAACTTTGACCGTGTTTTTGGATTAAAACAGCGACTTTGCACTAGATTTTTGTATGGTATTTATTGTTGTATTCCAGTTTTCCTGGTCTCATTGTATAGAATGGAAAACATATTACAGAAATTGAGATGATTTTGACTGGTTTTACAATGAAAAATACCTTGAAATTGAGCTCTAATAGCAGAAATGTTCGATTTTTACCAAAGTTCAAAAGTAAACAAATCATGTTAAGCGTCCAATACACGTCAACTGGTGAGTCTAATATTCTTTCACAAGTGCGCCGATATTATTTATAACATTTCTACACTAATGCAGTAGTCTGCATAACAGTAAATCTTATTTTTTTTGTGAAAATAAAAATTCAAAGTGGAAAGCAAAAGAAATGTAAGAGGGGCCTGGGGACATGACTAATGAACAGAGAAAATGTTATTTTAGTGCCAGGAATGTCTTTCTTGTTTATTCTGGACCCTATTTGGAAATTGTCATCTTTTGAAATTTGTGTGAAATTGGCAAAATTGCTAAATTCTGACCACTGTATTGGATAGTTGGAATCGGTAAATTGGTGGTTTCTTGTACTCAATCGATAGAAAAAAATGGAGTTCTAGCGAAATAGTTATGATTTTTGTCGACTAGTACATTGGAATTGGCTGAAAATAGGGCTCAAAGTGGGCAAAATCGCCGATGCGTAAACATCGTTGAGACTGCTAACTTCGCGAGAGTATAATTCCGTAAGTTTTCCATCAAATTTCATACTTTTGGTGTCATTATGATCGGGAAAAGATTCTCTATTTTTTCATAAGAAAAATAATTTTTTTTTTTTTAAATTTGGGGGACCCTGAGAACAAGTCTCTGAGAGGGCCTGTGGACCCTGAGAGAGTTAATTTACTAAATCTAACCCATTTATATTATAAACTATTCTAACACATTTATCTTTCATTAGACATTCTAAAATAATCAAGCTAACTATTTATATGACAGCAGCTAGTCAACTGTACTACTCCTACTGTTTATGTACTTGCCATAAATTGCAAAAAGCTCACAGACTGCTACTAGGGTATGTTAAGTTAGGGTACTTTATATATTTTCACTGGTCCTGGTAAACCACTATTGGAATCATTGTCTATCAATCAGAACTCTAGAAAAAAAAATATGTATATATATACACCTACAATCCGACTTACGACCTGCTTGACATACGACCATTCGACCTATGACCGTGTTTTCTATGCCAAATCAACTGTTTGTGTTGTACACAGTGTTTATCCTAAACCTTACAGTATAAAATACAGTCTAACAGCATAAAAAGTAAAGTAAAAAATTAAATACCAAAATAAAACAATAAAATAAAGTCATTACAAAAATATGATGTTAATATCAGTAGTAAGGTTCGGCTTACGTCCATTTCGACTTACGACTGGTTTGTCAGAACCGAACTCGGTCGTAAGTCGGATGGTACCTGTATGTATGTATGTATGTATGTATGTATGTATGTATGTATATATAATATGTATGTATATATGTATGTATGTATGTATGTATGTATATATATATATATATATATATATATATATATATATATATATATATATATATATATATATATATATATATATATATATAATATATATATATATATATATATACACATACATACATACACAGTGGACCCCCAGGTTTCGTGATTAATCCGTTCCAGAGAGCCTGCCGAAAGTTGAAACTCATGAAACTCGAAACCATTTTCCCCATAAGAAATAATGGAAATAAAATTAATCCGTTCCCGACACCCAAAAATATTAAAATAAAATATCTTTTTTCAAATTAAATAAAGACTTATATACTGAAATCAATGAAGAATCAAGTACATACATATAAAAAATAATAATAACATTACACTTACCTTTACTGAAGACTTCTGGGTGGATGGAAGATGGGAGGGGATAGGAGAAAGGTGTACACTATTGTTTGGAAGAAGAATCTCCTTCCATTAGGACTTTAGGTAGCAAGTCCTTATCTGGGGTTACTTCCCTTCTTCTTTTAATGCCACTGGGAACAACTTGAGAGTCACTGGACCCCTGTCGCACAAAATATCTGTCCATAGAGGTCTTTTTCTGGCGTTTCTTTAAGATTTCCCTAAAGTGGGACACAACACTGTCATTATACATGTTGCAGATATGGCTTGTTTCAGCTTGGTCAGGGTGATACTTTTCAACAAAACTTTGCAACTCATTCCACATTTCACACCTGTCCTTAACCACTGAAGAAGGAACCTCCTTCACTCTCTTTTCCTCCTCCTCTGAAGCAAGTTCCTTGGCTGTGGTCTGATGCTGTTCCAGTTGAAGCTCTTGCAGTTCGTCAGTGGTTAGCTCTTCCCTGTGGTCCTCCACCAACTCTTCCACATCCCCGTCACTTACCTCCAACCCCATGGACTTGCCCAATGCCACAACACCTTCCACAACAGGCAGAGGGTCGGCAGGGACAGGGTCTGCCTCAAAACCTTCAAAATCCCTCCGGATCGTGTTCCTCACTTTGTTTACCAAACAGCTTGCACTAGCTTTCCTTGGGTCCATGATGACTTATTTAGCAGTTGCAAGCACAAAAAACAATGGATTATTATGAAATGTATTGTATGAACCCGCGGGGTGATGGTCACGTGTTGGTAAACAATGGCACACTGAGTGTGAATGGCGTGGTAGACTCGCTTGGTGTGCGCGGTGACGGGTGGACGGGTACCGGACGGTCACCGAAACACGAGTCTAATCACAAAACTCGAGGCCAAATTTTTCCCAAAAAAAACTTGCCGAAGGTCAAATTTCACAACACTCGATGCTGCCGAAACTCGAGGGTCCACTGTATATGTATATATACATGTATATGTATATATACATGTATATGTATATATACATGTATATATATATATATATATATATATATATATATATATATATATATATATATATATATATATATATATATATTTTTTTTTTTTTTTTTTTCAACAAGTCGGCCGTCTCCCACCGAGGCAGGGTGACCCAAAAAAGAAAGAAAATCCCCAAAAAGAAAATACTTTCATCATCATTCAACACTTTCACCACACTCGCACATTATCACTGTTTTTGCAGAGGTGCTCAGAATACAACAGTCTAGAAGCATAAACATATAAAGATACACAACATATCCCTCCAAACTGCCAATATATATATATATATATATATATATATATATATATATATATATACAGTGGACCCCCGCATAACGATCACCTCCGAATGCGAACAATTATGTAAGTGTATTTATGTAAGTGCGTTTGTACGTGTGTGTTTGGGGCTCTGAAATGGACTAATCTACTTCACAATATTCCTTATGGGAACAAATTCGGTCAGTACTGGCACCTGAACATACTTCTGGAGTGAAAAAATATCGTTAACCGGGGGTCCACTGTATGTATATATATATATATATATACATACATACATATATATATATACAGTGGACCCCCACATAACGATATTAATCCGTTCCTGAGAGCTCATTGTTATGCGAAATTATCGTTATGCGAATGAATTTTCCCCATAAGAAATAATGGAAATCAAATTAATC